GGGGTGTTTTTTTTGGGGGGTGGTATCAAACTATTTAGTAAACACTAATGTTCTTCAGTAACTATTTAATTTTCTCCACTTACAATTTGGAGTGAATTTGTCCAACTTTTCTAAATATCCAACTGGAATTTTTTAAGGTTGCACCACCTTTAATGATGGTTTTGAGAAATTTAACATTTTTATATTGCTGCCTCATCCAAGATTATTTAGATCTTCTTCCAAAAAATGGGCTAAGTCTTCTATTTGATTTGTATAGTTTTCTTTAAAGAAGACTTTGTTTAAGCTGATTCCTGGACACTTCATATTTTTGTCATTGAGTGTTATCTTTTTATTTACTTAAGTTTCTAGTTGGTATTGCTGCTCTTGATTTTTAAGTTGATCTTACATCCTGCACTGCTCTCTTGCTTTCTCCCTGAGTTTGGGTGGAATTCAGAACCACTCTGGTTTCCTCCTAAAGCATCCCTCTCTTGGTATGAAGGTACCTGGAAAGCTGATCATCACAAGATTCATATAGCACACAATTAGACCAAATAAATTGCTGGACAAGCCATGAAGACACCCACAATAGAGAACATTTTTGTTCCCCAGATTCACCATCTTCCTTCCCTGGCTGCAACATGCTGAATAAACCTAGATATGTTTTAATGGATCACTCTCATACAGAAACTTTTTTTCAGATGTGTTAATATCACATCCTAGGGGCTTTGGAACTATTTTGCTTCCTCCCATAATTTGTAGATAAATAACCCTCACAAACGCAGTTTGGACTTAAAGCCTCCTTGATGCCTCACAAACCTCATCACAATTACTTCATACCAATATATAATAGTTAACTTGCTCACCCAGAAATCTCTGGTCCCAGAGGCACAAGTTATAAGTCTGTTAACCTGACATGTAGCAAGGGATATTAGTTTTAAAAACTTATTTGATGTGAAATTATTAAAAAAAAAAAAAGGCGAGGTTTGCTGGTCGGATAGAGCCTGAAGAAATTCTATGGTCCCTAGCTGCCCTTGAGGCCTGGAACTGAACCCACTCCTATGGCTTCCAGCCAAATAAAAGACCAGTATATGGGCTGAACATTTACATCAGGTAAATACACTACTTGGAGAGATCAATCATGGGAGAACAGAAGGGCAGTGCATGCACAAAGAGACTATTGGAGGGGCAGGAGTACACTGGAGGGAAGGACACAAGGAAGAGGTAATTATGGGGAGGAAGTGGGAAGACAGCTGTTACATTGTGGGAAACTGCAGTCAATGTCATGTGACAAATGTGTATTAACTGCTGTACAGAAAATGAATTTACTCTGTAAACATTCACCCAAATCACAATAAAAATTAAAGAAAAAAAATCGTATCAAAACAAAACAACAAAAAAAAAAAACTTATTTGATATGGGCAATTGACATCTAAAACATCTCCTTAATCTACAGCTGGTAATTTACCACCTGCACTGTAATGAATGGAGTAGGACAGACTGGCTGTACTTAATTGTGTGTTTCTTCTACTAAAATCCAGCTTCAACCAGGTCAATCAGACTCAACCTGTAAGCTTTTCGGGAGATAGCATTTGCTCTGCTGAGCCTTCAGGAAGACTTACCAAAGCTTTGAGTCCATTGGAAAGTCCTCCAGGACAGAGTTTTCCTTCTGTCTGCAAGTCCGGTGGGGCAGAACCTCTTCACTACCTACCAGGGGCCTCCTGCATCTAAATGGTGCAAAATGGGTTTTCTGAAGAGGTATCAAGCTAGCTTTAACTGGCATCAATCCTTTCTTTCTCTCCTGTGTCCCTAACTGGCTTCCTGATTGTGGTGTGAAGTTTGTGTGTCAATTTGGCTGGGCCTGGTTGAGTAGATAGGGAGCTGGTGGTAGTTATTCCCCATGGTAAGACTGGTAATGAACTCCATGGTGGAATGTATTGGAGCAGCTGAGTAACTGCTTTAGGGATATGGTCTGCTTCCTGTATATAAGCAGCAGCTTTGGGAATGGTCCCTAGCTTATGGCACGCTTGAACTCTGCATGTAGCTGTGTCATTGTTCAGCAGCCTGCCATGTTCTGCTGATCAATGGACTTGAATTAATGGCCTGCTGTGTGGCTTGGTAACATAGGGACTGTGCCTTTTCACTTGTCAAGCTTGGGCTTATCAGTTTCAGCAGCCAGCAGCTGTCTGAGTGAAGAAAAGCCTCCTAGCTTCAGTGAGCTGGGAGCGGGAGGCAGAGCTGAAGCCAAAGTTGAGGGCTTTCACTCAGCCCCTACAGCCTGGCACTTCGAACTTGGACTTAAAGCCTCCAAACTGTGAGAGAATAAACTCCTGTTTGTTCAAGCCATCCCATTTGTGGTATATTCTTGTCAGAGCAGCACAGAGGTAACCAAAACACTGATTCCAGCACAAGCCTAAAATACACACATCCAGCATATTTTAAATGGCTTTATTAAAGGTTATTAATATAAAATATGACCAAGTTACAAGTTATAAGAATTCATAATTTTTGAAAACGTGTATCAAAGAAAAGGCAGCACATTCAACCTCTGCAGCAGCTGCTGACATCCTGGGAGCAGAGGTGGGCAGGGTGACCACAGCTACTCCCAATGGGGGTTACCTCTGAAACCCAGAAGGAGGGGACAGGTCCTTTAGGTGAAAAGAACAGACTGGTTTCTCATTTCTTTGGGGTGCAGTCACCCAAAGCAGTACTCTGAATCCTAAAGCTGAATCCCTGGTGCAAAGAGTAGATAGAGTGGGGATCGGTTGGAATCCAAAACCACATATAAGCTTTAGCTGAAAAGTGTATATGTTTTTTTTCAACAAATATAAACTCCTGATACATGGAAAAGAAAGTGACAAACTATAAGAATTTAATTTCCCTTTACTTGGAAACACTGAACATAGACCCCAAGAGATAGATGAAAGAAACAACTTTTGCCTAGATTTTGTCTAGGATTTGGAGGAGGATCTGGCAGGTCAGGAGGGATGAAGAGGCTGGAAGCAAAGCCCCCAGTCCTTCATACTACCTCAGATTTAAATGTAAATTTTACGTTTAAAATTTAAAATATTATGAAAGGTAACTAAACATGGTGGGCGCTGGCCATAGGTGGTACTAAGCATGGCAAAAGCTTTCAACGATGCCCACATCCCCAAAGCTCCAAAGAGAACTTTAAGTGAATATTGGGCTTCATGAGAAAGTTGGAAAGAAATGAAAATCATCTCCCAAGAGAACAGACAGGTCACCTTGGACCAACTGTCTGAGGATATAGATCTTTCTTCCCTGTTACAAAAACACCAAGGAATATAATCTCACATCCACACATCTTAAAAAATAAAAAGGAGCCCCTATTCCTAGGTTGGATCATGCAGCACCACAAGGCTGAGAGTGGAAGGCAGGGCAGGGCGCAAGCCCAGCTCTGAGGCTGTAAGCCAAGAGGGGAGCAAGCATCCTACTTATATGTTCCAACTGGGATCTGAAGCCCCTTTCCCCTCATTGTAATGTGGGAAACCTCCTCCTCCTACCTCCCACCCTGCCCTTGTACATATCAACTATTCTCAAATAGTACAGAAAGAACCTACAGTTGCCAAGTTGCATCAGTCACCCAAGGAGGAATATAAAACCCAAGACCTCAGAGGGCCAAGTGAGGTTAAGGGACATTAAGCAATTGGCAGAAACCAACACAAAAGCTGGCTGAGCCACAGCTTTGGCAGAAATTTTCCTTGAAAAAAAAATAAAGTTGCCATGTGCTTTACCTTGGAACCAGATAAAATATTCTGGAAATTGTTGTAGAAGGTCCTATGACACAGTGAAACATTTTTAAAAAAAAAAAACACTTTGGTATTGAAACCAAACATTCACTGGCAAGGGCTGAAAGGAATTAAGGCTTCAGGTGAGGAGGACACAGTGTGAGATTTGTAAGTCATGCTGTACTGGGGCCCATGGCTCTTCTAGGCACCTCCCAGCATGCCACACAGCTCAGGTGCACTGGTCGGGGGCAAAGTCCAGTTCCAAGGGACACCTCACTTTGACCAGGGTCTCCAGCGGCATGCTGATGGGCAATGCAGACACTTGCATCTGCATTTCTGGTAGTGGTCAGGGTGGAGTAGGATCCATCACGGGCAGGCTGACCAGTCCTTGGGGTGAAGGATATCCCCTCCACCTGCCAGTCTCACACTGGAAAGTTCAAATCCAATTCATCAGAAGCCTGCCATTTCCTCCAGCAACACCTGCCATTGGCCTTTTCTCCTGTTGATGCCCAGTACAGGAATAATCAACAGGTCATAGAAATAACAAAGAACTTCCAAAAGACATTGGTATAAAATAATGCTGAGTCTAGATACAAAATAACAAATAGTTAGTACAAAACTTTTAAACATGCAATTTTTTTAAACAATGATCAATAGTTTCAATATGTATTAGGGCAGATTAAGGATGAGCTTTACCATGTGCCAACCATTTGAATCCAAAAAATAACACAGGGTGGCAAGTGGCACATAATATGAAAAGTGTGGCTTCAGCAAGAGAACCCCTAGACAGAAGGAACATTGGGGGAGGTCTTCATTGGGGTAAACCCTTTCATGGTCACAGCCAGAATGTTGATATCACTCCATCAAAGTTAACCCCATACATTAAACAGGGGATAAAGGAGAAGGAGATGGAGATCATGTTTATGATTTTTGTGACATGGCTGAGAGAACTCTTTCTTTGAGGAGGAGAAAAACTGGGTGGAGCTGGGAACAGAAGTTTTATTTACAATATCGACTGAGTTCCTAACAGTCTTTAAAAATTGCAAATGTAAAACTGCTGTTATCAAATCATCGAAAATAGCATCTGTATCTGATCTTAGCAAAAAAGGAAAAATCTGGGTAATGTTTGACAATTCCCCAATGATTAAGAAAAGAGTGTACAGAGATTAAGGAAATATGCAAGGAAAATGTTGTCTTTTTATCCTCCTCTACCACATCACTTCAGAAAACATTTTGGGTTCTTGGTTTTGTTTTTATTTTTTTGTCTAGCTCATTTTACCAATTGTCCAGAAAATCAAATCCTGTCTTCAAGATGACATTGCTGGAGGTGACCTGCAGAAGGGAGAGAAATACAGAGTAAGAAGGGAGCTTTTTCCAGTTATGCATCATCTAAATACAGCATCTCATTTAAAATGACCCAAATGAAGCAGCCTGCTTCCATTTCAAAGGCTTGCTGACCTCAATCTACCTCAATGCTTAGAACCAGAAAATTAAGTAAATTCACTGCAAGTTGCAAGCAGCCAGCATCTTACACCTCCCTCTCCCTCCCAAGGCAAGTCTGTAAGCAGCCTGCAGACATACCTACTGACCAAAGGATAGAAAGACAGTTTTCCTATTTGTGAATGAGAGACATGTTTAAATTTACTCATCATGAAATAAAGAGAACCAATCATAAAGGTATGCTTTCTAATATAAAGCAAACATACACACAACATAACAAAAAGTAGCTTGCAAAATCGAGAGGAAGGATTTAAAGCTTTTTTCTTTTAGATTATGTTAAAAGGATCTGAAGTGATTCTCCCTAAACTAGGCACATTCTTAGGGTTCAGGATAATCCATGTAAATGAAATACGTCTTGATTTAAAGGGGACCTTAGTGAACACAAGAAACCTTGGTGGCACAATGTTTAAGAGCTCAGGTATTTCCCTAGTAGTTTGAACCCTCCAGCCACTCCACAGGAGAAAGATATGGCAGTTTCTATAAGGACCTACAGCCTTGGAAACCCCATAGGGCAGTTCTACTCTGTCCTTGAGAGTCACTATGAGTCAGAATCGACTTAATGGCAATATGTTTTTTTGGTCCTGCTGAACATGGGCTGTCACACAAGCTGCAGCTGGATTTATAGACACTCCAACAAACTTCCACTCAGCAACTTGGTTAAGATGTAAGATGGCTTAGTACTTCATTCTAACATATGTAGGTCTTCGTCTGGTAGGCTGTGGTCCTCCTGAGCAAGGAAATCTTGGCACTACGACCTCCATAGGGCTGGCAAAGAGAAAATGCTCATGTGGAGTCAGTGGCAGGAAACATACTAAGCAACTTACCCCTGAAGCTTGGCTCAAGTTGGCTCTGCATCTGAGGCTTATGCAGAGTGTGCGAAAACATGAAAAAGTACTGGTGTTTACTCAAGGTGTTCCTTTCCTGACTGTCTCTTGTTTCTCGAATGCTATGGCTTTGCTCTCAGCAATCTGTTCTTTAAAGGACATGTTTGTGCTCTCTCCTACTCTCCACTTCCCACCCCACCCCCACCACACTCATTTTCCTATTCTTCCTTGTGGTTTACATAAATGTGTCCTTCAGAGGAAAACTCAACTCCAGAGTGTCAGAGAAAGGGTAATGTCTAGGGATAGAGGAACACTGAGCATGTTTGTCAGGAGGAGCTGAGAGGCAAAAAGATTAGAGAGGTAAGAGGTAACAAAAGAGGCAAGAAAGGGTCAAGGACCAGAGAGACAGGGAACGATGTCATCAAATGCACTGCCTTAGATGGTAGAGATGATGGAAGTCAAAGGGACAGGCATGGAATCAGAACCACACACAGGGTAGACTGCATGCGCAGATACAGCTATGAGCAGCACAGCAATGCCAAGGACTACCAGCAGCCACCACACACTGGGAGGACAGTTGCTCTCTGAGTCCTCAAAGGAATGGACATGGCTTATGGCCTGAATTCAGAACATGAATTTTAGGCTCCAGAACATGAGATAATACATGTCTGTTCTTTATAGTTACTCACTTGTGGTATTTTGTTATGGCAGCACAAGGAGCTCTGGTGGTGCAGTGGGTAAGGCATTCAGCTGCTAACGCCATGGTCGGTGGTTCAAACCTACCAGATGCTCCACAGGAGGATGATGAGGCAATCTACTTTCGTAAAGATTTACAGTCTTGGAAACCCAATGGGGGGCGCTATGAGTCAGAATTGATTCAATGGCAGTGGGTTTTGTTTGGTTTTTGGTAGGCAACTAGGATATCTCATGATCACACAAACCAATTCCTTGCAATAAATCTACTACTACCTCCTACAGATGGGGAGTCTGGCAAAGAACCAGGCAGTGTGTTTTGTTCTGATGTACATAGGGTCACTATGAGTCGGAGCCAACGTGTAGCACCTAACAACAACCACCACCTCCCACAGTTTTGCATCAGGAGAACAAAACACCCTGTCCTCACAGGCCCTCCTGCTGGTGTAGAGTGTTGTCTGTCCCCTCTGCACCATCCTCAGGCTAGGATGACTGTATCAGGAGCTGCCCATCCATCACTCCTCCTCCTCTACACCTTTTGTCTGGCTGCCACCTCACCCCACACCCAAGACCCCAACTTGGCCTTCCTGCATAACATTCTGCTATGTTTTATAGGTCCTTTTACTAGTGAAGCCAAGGTAAGAACAAGCTGTCATTCCCACCAAGGTCACTGACACTGGAGTAAGCAACCTTCTTGGACAATATGGTTCTCTACCCAGACTGCCATTTTTCTGACACATCCTCTCTCCTGAAGCTCAGACAACCCTCCTCCCTACCTGGACACAAATTGCCATCCTGACAGACATCACCCACAGACATCTCTGCTGAAGAAGATACCCGTGGTCCCGCTCACACTAAGGTCCCACTCCATTTCAAAAAGCTGCTCTGTGTTTCCTCATTCATGTTTGCTCCACTGACTTGACATGGCAGCCCACCAGCTACTTCTCAAAGCTGCATTTTGGTCTCATTGTTATTCCAGGTGGCAGCTGGGTTATAATGCCGCTACTTGGTCCTCAGTTTTCTCATCTGTGAAATGGAGACTATGGCTTACGTCTTGAATTCTTGTTTTAAGTTAATGTGCATATAATAAGCCCCGTCACGTGGTAATCTGCGCAACATTACTTTTTCCACCAGCATTGTGGTGAGGACAGAGACAGGTTCTAAGCAGCAAGCAGCTACTCAGAGCCAGCCTCATGTCTACTCTAACTCTTGACCCCAAGTCCCCAGATGTCCCCCTAGGAAAGGCAGCAGTGACAGCAGTGGTCTCTAGTGCAGGCTCTACTCAGGAAGCAGATCCTCAGAAGAACTCTCCAGGGGGTTGGCAGGAGAGCAGCTAGGGAGAGCTGCTGGCTCTACTGGGGCCACATGGCTGGGACCTCATCTTCTTCAGGGCCAGGATCTTTGGGCAGCACTCACAGAGGTGAGGGTGCACAGGAGGATCACAGCCTCTGGATCCCTTGTGTCTTCCCTCTGGCCATCCCCATCTGGTGAGCAGGTTTACCTGTTCCCATCCCCTACCTCCTTCCTTCCCTCAGAGACTCAACAAGCACCCTGACTCCTCCAAAACAGTTATGAGTGACCAGAAAGCATCACTGTTATGGACAGCACCAGCATTTCTCCTGACAGTGGCATAGTGTGTGAGGGGGAACAGAGCTGTGCCAGGAGTTGCTGCCAGGTAGCCACTGCCAAAGTAGGCAGGCACAGATGTAGGAACAGGCTGTGCTTTTCTCTCAGAAATAGTGTTCACACATGCCATGCCCACATGTACTACTCAGTTTATCATACAATGTTGCCCAAAACCAAGGGATCCCTCTAAAATATAATGACTATTTCTTGGGCTTTTTTTTTTTTTTTTTTGGTTTTGTGTAATTCTCCAACAGTAATTCCATTTGAATCAAAGATTTTGTCTTCTCTTTGTTTTTTCACCTTTTATGCAACCCAACCAGTGAAAAAACAAGGGTCACAAAATAATGGAGAAAAAATATAAAAGAAGCCACTTATACTATGGTTCCTCTTACACAGCCACTCCCTTCCTTCCTTGCTCATCTATCTCACCCAGTGATATCCCAGACCCCTTTGCTTCCCCCTTAATTCAGTGAGAGAAACTATTGTCTTATTGTCTTCATGGTCCCACCCAGGACCCCTACCCTTACCCTGGTAGGGAAAGAGCAGTCCCACCTGCTTTCCCTGCATCATCTCAGGACACCATTACCCCAGGATACCACAGACCCTTCCACACCCAAAGCCACAGCTAGCCTCACAGGCCTTCCAGTCCAGCAGGTATATAACTACCTACCAACCTGACAACTTTCTCTTCTCAAGTTCCCTCTTTACACCCCCCCACACACACATGACTTCCTCTTCTTAATCAAACAAGTTAAGATAAACATGAACTTGCACCACCAGCATATTGACTAGTGGCAGTGCTGACAAGTAGCCAAGCTCTCCTGAGCCCACAAGCACTCTGAGGAGGAAGCAGGGAAAGAAGAGGAGGAAGGGAAGGAAGACAGACTGTGAGAAGGGACCGTTGACCTGGAACAGCATCACACCAAACCACCCACCTGCATAGGCGCAGACTCTGAGAAAAGAGTGTCTCCTGCATCCTCCTGGCTGGCATCAGGGGCAAGTGGGTTCCTCAGAGGTTCGGCAAGGCCAGCCTCCCTTGGTGGGCTAACAGATGCCTGTATGGGCAGAGGTCTCTCACACTCGGCCCCCAAACCAGAAAGGTCGCGTGTCTCCTGTTGTGGGCCACCAGGCTGCTCAGCCTGGGTCTCCCTGTCCTTTGGGGCAGGATCCTGTCGATGGCAGGCAGATACGACCTTCTCCCCCTTCTCCATAGACTTGATTTGGCTGGGGGTCAGTGACTGGAATTCTGCCTCAGGCCCCTCACCACGGGACCGCTCAGCGTTGATCTTCCAGAAGGCAGCCTCTTCCTCCTTCCGTGTGGACCCCAGCACATCTGGACCTGGGGGCTTGTTGCCCTGGGAAGACTTGAGGGCCTGCGTAGCACTGCCTGGGTCCTGGACCGACAAAGAGGAGATGCTGAACTCCATCTGACTCTGGCAGAGGGGAATGGGAGAGGGAAGAGACAAGACAGCAATCCTTACAGTCAGCCATGGCAGCCCTGCCACTCACACACCTTCTCCTTGGCATGCGGCACCAGCAATGACATTACTTAAATCATCTCCATTATTATTCTCCATTTTCTGGCAATGCTTCCATTCTGGGTAGTGATTTTCACAACTGCCACCACATACCTGAAACACACTGAAGCTTGGATATCCAGGCCCTTCCCACTCTATTGTACTCCATACTACTAATAGCTCAGATCCTACAGATCATACCAACAGGAAAGGCTCTCTGCTAGGCAGGCAGTATCCTCACCTGTCTGCTCCTGTGGCCCCAGCACCTTCTTAAGAGAGCTGAGGAGGAAGGATGCCTACCTCTTCAGCCCAATATAGGTAAACAAATAAAAATAATTAAAAAAAAAAAAAAAAAAAAAGCAGGTGCAGCTCAGCGTAACTACTGAAAACCAGCTGCCATCCAGTCGACTCCAATTCATGGCAACTCCGTGTGTACTGGAGTAGAACTGTGCTTCGTGGGGTTTCAAATGGTGGATTTTTCAGAACTGTATCACCAGGCCTTTCTTCCTACGTGTCTCAAGTGGACTTGAACTTCTAACCCTTCAGTTAGCAGCTAAGTGCTTAACCATTTGTACAATGTAGAAAGTCTTTCAGCACTGAAAAACCTTCTGCAATCAAGTCGATTCTGACTCATGCTACACTGAAATGAGGGTAAAACCTAGGCTCCATCTCCCTGGCCCTGCCTTCACTGGACCTGTGGCAATGGCCAACAGTCAAAGAAAGCCAAGGTGTCACACTCTGCAGAAAGGTTCTTCGAATTAAAGGAAAAAGCACTCGGGACAGGGCTGAGTGCAGCTGCAAAGACTTGGCCCATCCGTCCACCTTCCCACAGCTGCTGCTTAGGGTGCAACTCTTCACCCTTTCCTGACAAGGCCTGCTGACTCTGGATACACTTTTCCTCAGCACTGGTTGCTGCTGCACCTGGTACTGGGCCCTGGACATGGGGCTAGGACTGTAAATACACTGAAGGCATCTGGGTGCACGTGAAATGCTTCTGCTAACCAGGTACAGCTAAACAGTGACCTCCAAAAATGGTCATTCTAAGCTGTCTGGCCTGTTGGTCATTAAATGGAATCTGAGCCTCTGTAGAGTACATTAGAAGATGTATTCCAAGCTCTGCAGAAAAAGCAATGTGTGATATCTATCATTTCTAAAAATCAATCATGAAAATTTCCCTCTTCATCACCACTTCTACTCCCTCCTTCACTCTTCCTTTTAAATAAAAGTAATAAAACTACATTATAGATAGTTTGAGAAACAGAAAAAAGAAAATCTCTTATAAGTCTTTTCTCCTCCCATAATCATTGCTACTTTTTGTACTTTTGTGTAATCTGATTCAGTATATATTTTATGAGGTTATAGCTCTGTTATGCATATAATCTAGGGTATTGCTTTGTCACTTAATCATAAACATATCCATGTTGCTGTATAGTCTTTATAAACATTACTTTTAATTGTTGCAAAATATTTCATGGAGTAGCTGTCCCACCATTTACTTAGCCATCTTTTTATTATCGGACAATTTAGTATTTCTGATCTTTATTGTTATAATTCAGGTTGTGACAAATATCTTCATATGTATAGCTCTCTTCCATTTTGGGTTAATTTCTTCAGAGTGCTATCACTTCAGAAGTTATATTATTAAATTACTTAAGACTTAAGCCTTTCTTTCTGTTCAAACCCTTTCTGGGAGAATATTGCCAGATTTGCTTTCCAAGCACTGCCCTAATTCCAATGTCACCAGCTCTCCATCAGAGAAGCATTTTCTATCACTGCATCCATGCAATAACTGGCCATAGTAATCTAAAACTGTGCTAACTCAAAATACCAAAACTTGGATTTTTCTTATTTTAGTAAGTGCTCCATTCAGTTAAATCTTTAGAAACAATAGCACTCCTCCAGGATTCTCACAAACTGGACCACAATGTTTGTAAGGGCAAGCCTGAAAATACTGCTTTCCATATAAAAAACTATAGGCCCTAGGACAGAGAGATGCCAACATTCTGCCAGTTTCAGACCTAAGGCTCATCCTTCCTGTGACAGCTAGAGGGTTCCGTCCCCGTCATAGACGTGAACTGTTGAGGCCATGAAGGGCTCCAAGTTTTAAACTCAATTTAATCACAGCATAGGCTACTTGGAAAGTCAATGGTACAAAAAATAAAAAAGAAATGATAACTGGCTTTGCCAGTTCCTGTGGTTACAAATATATGGGGTTCCTGTGAGCACCCCATGCACCAGACTATTTGTGTTCTACAGACGAGGATGCAGATTTGGCAAGATAAAGCAGCATGCTCTGAGTCACTTGTCCATCAGGAAATCTGGAGGTGGGACTCAGTAGCCTGACTCAAAGCCTGACAACTGCACTGATGGCCTCGGTTGGGACTGAAGTCACGCTGGGTGTCACTATAAAAGCAAGGTGTTACCAGATGTAATGTCAATTGAAAGAGTTGAGAGCCTTTGTAGTTTTGATAAGTATTTAAATGATCTAATCTCGTGGCATAGTGCCTAAGGCGTTTGACTGCTAACCAGAAGGCTGGTGGTTCAAACTCACCAGCCACTTCTTGGAAGGAAGACTGGGCAATCTACATCCATAGAGATACTGCCTTGGAAACCCAAGGAGGGGTCACTATGAGTCGGATCCGACTTGACAGCAATGAGTTTAGTTTTTTGAGTAATGTGATTTTTAAAGAACTGTGTCCAAGTGAACAAGCCCAAATATACTCCAAATTCTTCAATGGAATAAAGAGACTGTGGACAGGGAAGTGATGTTTTCTTCAAATAAGCAAATTGCTAAAAATAGCTCACAAGTGGGGCCCCAAGGCTCTAAGAACAGATTTGACTTTGATCTGTTCATTGTAGTGTAAGGGAGGCACTTAGAACTGAGCACTTCATCAACCCTCGGCTTTTCTAGGATCAGCAATTTCTCAGTGCTCGGTAGCTATGAGTAGGGTCCAACTCAACAGCACATAACAACAACAACAGAAGCTTCTGGAAGGCGGGGCTGAACATTTTGTCTTATGTGGAGGGCAGCAACAAGCCAAGCAGGGATGCTGCAAAAAGTAGGAAGTCACAGTGGCTCTGAGAGTGATTCAGGGCCACTGTTGAACTCAGCAGTACTTAGCTGGACATGACATTCTCAAACAGAATGACAGATGTCTTTCTTGGTAACAAAGATCTGGTTAGAAGAGGGCTATGCTGAGAGAAGCAGCTACCTACTGATGTGGCTTGGGGGTAGACATGAGGAAAATAAAAATGTAAAGAGAAGAAGTACTAATAGTATATTTGCCTCTAAGTCTTTCTGCACTATGAATAAACCAAAACCAAACCAAACTCACTGCTGTTGAGTCGGATCCAACTGGCAGCAACCCCTCCTTGGGTTTCCGAGGAGGTATCACTACAGAAGTAGATTGCCCAATCTTCCTTCTGAGAAGTGGCTGGTGGGTTTGAACTGCCAGCCTTCTGGTTAGCAGTCAAATGCCTTAGGCAATATACTACCAGAGTTCTTTGAATATAATTTGTAATTTTGCAAATAATATATGGCTACCATCTCCTTTAAAGAAAACGGTCCTGGGACCAGGTTTGCTGGTCCAATAGAGCCTGGTGGAACCACTGATACTATGGCCCCTAGCTGCTCTTCAGGTCTGGAATTGAACCCACACCTGTGGTTTCCAGCCAAACAAAATACAGGCGTATGAGTAAAACATTTACCTCAAGTAGATACACTCCTTGGAGAGAACAATCATGGGAGAAAGAAGGGCTGCTTATGCACAGGGAGATAACTCAGGGGGCAGAAGTCCATGGAGGGATGGACACTGGGAAGAGGTAACTACAGGGAGGAGGTGGAAGGGGAGCTGTTGCATTGTGGTAAACTGTGGTCAATGACATGAGACAAAGTATATGTGAACTGCTGTATGGAAAGTGAATTTGCTCTGTAAATCTTCACCCAAATCACAATTAAAAAAAAAAAAAAAAACAGTCCTCTGATCATCATGCCCTCTGTTGGTTCTCATCCCTACTCTCACCTCTCTTCACCCTCAAAAGGGGTTATCTAGTAATCTTAAATGCCTATTGACAAGGGAGGAGTGGGAAGAAGGGAGAAGAGGAGGAAAAGATCCTGCCTAGATCCAATTTTACTCAGCTCCAAGAACTCCAGGACTCTTAACAAAAATTGACTAACAAGGCCGGGTGGGGCTCTAGTGAGAACACACTGCACCCCAGGCTATAGTCCACCAGAGAGGTACTGTATACAATCGACCAGTCTGAAGCACAAGAACAGAATGAAAGTGCCCCCATGCCCACTTAATGTTCCTTTTGCCTTTTCAAAACACACTGTATTGATTTTTTTGCTGCTGTGTCACCGTACTGTCCCAGGGATTTCTTCCCTACTGACCACTCCTCCTTCCTTACCAGCCAGGGGGCAGCCCTAGGCTTCTTTTCACTCTACCTAATTTAAGCCATCAGGTAGCATAGTGCCTAAGGCACTTGACTGCTAACCAGAAGGCTGGCAGTTCAAACCCACCAGCCACTCCTCGAAGGAAAGTTGGGCAATCTACTTCCATAGTGATACTGCCTGGGAAACCCAAGGAGGGGTCGCTATGAGTCGGGGCCAACTCGATGGCAAATAGCAACAACAACAATTTAGCCATCAGTTACCATCCAATGTCAGGGAGCCACAGATAGCCATCAACCAAGAGCTTCTCACTGAGCCTCAGACCTACAGATGACCCTACTAGGATGTTTAAAAGGTACCTCGGCTCACCAGTACAAAACTAATGTCATGCTTTTCCCCTCAAACCCGCTCTTGCTCAGTAAATGTCAAAACTGTCCAACTGCCAACCTCCAAATGTGGGAGTTGACTCTCCTTCCTCTACACTGTCAATGACCAAATCTTGGCAATTCTTCCTCATCAATATGTT